TTTGTCATTGCAGGTATACAGTACTTTTCACTCATGATAATTTAGCCCTACTACTAGGATATGACCTTTTTGGGTTCTCTATTAAATAGCCCTGATGACCAAAGAAGACTCTCTTCTGGCTGGCTGGATCTCAAATATCTCCTCTGAGAATTCTTACATCTCCTTGGTTATTCATTGCCTTACGTTATGTATGATAGCTTCACCCTACACATGGACATCTTGGTGTTCAACAAAATCTCAAAAAGATATTTGCAGATTTATGGAGCTTTTCCTCCTCTTTGGAACTTTGTCTCCCAACTTCCAGCTACCTTAGCCTCCCCCAAACTTAATCTCTCTCCCCTCAACTCATCTTTGTTCTACATAGGATCCTCTTTCTGGCTACCTGGTTCAGAATGTGCCTACAAACTGAAAGTGGGGACAACCGTTTCCTTTTTACACATGGATCATAGTCCTGCACTGACTGTTGTCCATTGTGTGAAACATATTTTGTCCTATTTTCTGGTTGTCTATTACAAAAAGGTTAGTGTGCCCTATTATTCCATCATGGTCAGAGATGGAGGTCTTAAGGTTATTAAATATTTAAGTTAAAGATATTTTTACTTCAAAGGTCATGATAAAAAGTAGTGTTGTACCCATAATGGAAATCTTATGGGAATTCTTCAACTAATAGCTGGGTTTAATCCATTTTTGGTTAAGGTGTAGGAAAAAAATTTAAAAATTTTAAAAGTGACTTATTTTACCACAATTTATGAAAAGTTAATTTAAATAATGGAAAAATGTTCTTAAATTTTTTTCAAAGACCTTATTTTTTTTTTAAGATTTTATTTATTTATTTGACAGAGAGAGACATAGTGAGAGCAGGAACACAAGCAGGGGGAGCGGGAGAGGGAGAAGCAGGCTTCCTGCAGAGCTGGGAGCCCGATGTGGGACTCGATCCCAGGACCCTGGGATCATGACCTGAGCCGAAGGCAGACGCTTAACAACTGAGCCACCCAGGCGCCCTCAAAGACCTTATTTTTAAGTAACCTGCACACCCAATATGGGGCTTAAACTCACAACCCTGAGACCAAGAGATGCATGCTCTAGCAACTAAGCCAACCAGACATCCTGATGGGAAAATGTTTTGGGGTTTGTTTTCTGTTTTTTTAAAAAAAAACACAAAACTACATTTTTTACATTCTTTTTTAAGATTTTATGTGTTCATTTGAGAAAGAGAGTGTGAAAAACACAAGTGGGGGGAGGGGCAGAAGGAGAGGGACAAGCAAACTCCCCAATGAGTGCAGAGTCCAACTCAGTGCTCCATCCCAGGACCCTGAGATCATGACCTGAGCTGAAGTCTGATGCTTAACCAACTGAGCCACCCAGGCGCCCCTCATGGAAAAATGTTTTCAAAAGTGGTAAATCAAATATATAACCAGACACCAAATAATATTACATATTTTATTCTGGATGTGACAAATTGATCAGTTGTCAATTATTGTTCACTACTCCTCTAATAGGAACCCCTATTAGCAATTTTTAACTTTTTTACCCAACTGAAACATTTATGAGACTTTATTCAACAAGGTGAAAAAATATTTGAGCTATTTTAATCTGCGGTTGAACAACATTTACAGTCATACGTCGGCACAACTATTATGATGATTAGAACAAAGGGCTACATGCTCTTTAAAAATAACTTTGCAGGGGCGCCTGGGTGGCTCAGATGGTTAAGTGTCTGCCTTCTGCTCAGGTCCTAATCCCAGGGTCCTGGGATCGAGCCCCGCATCTGGCTCCTGGCTTAGTGGGGAGCCTGCTTCTCCCTCTCCCTCTGTCTCTCTCCCTGCTCACGCTCTCTATCTCTGTGTCTCAAATGAATAAATAAAATCTTAAAAAAAATAAAATAAAATAAAAACAACTTTGCAGGGGCACCTAGGTGGCTCAGGTCATGATCTTAGGGTCTTGAGATTAAGCCTGGTGTTGGGCTCCACGCTCAGTGGGGAGTCTGCCTGAAGATTCTCTCCCTCTGCCTGTTCCCCCTTAACTCTTTCGAATAAATAAATAAGATGTTTTTTAAAAAATACAAACTTACCTAACAGTTGATAAAACCCAAACATAATATTTTAACTGTCATTAAGAAAGACACTTTGGAACATTTCAATTAAACAACTGAAAAATTTCAGACTCCTGACGTGGATGTATATAGTAGGCACCTTCTTATGTCATCTTTATTTTATTAAAGCACTGAGATAAAACTGAGGTAAAAAAAATCATGAATATTAAATCAAAGTGATAAAGATGAGTGAGAAAATAAAAAGAAATTATCCTGACATTGAAAAGTAAATAATCATTTTTTTTGCAGATCATAACAAAAACAGGAATGGTGGAAGAGATAAATTGCAAATGAAAGTAATAGTTTGATAATCAATTTGTGAAGAAAGTGAATCATATAAACTCATTAAAAAATATTAAATTTATTTTTGATTTGACCTCAAATTGACATGAAGAGGATATAAACTCATAATACATGATTACAATAAGTATGTGTGTGTGTGTATAACCAATAATGAACTGAGGATGAAAAAAATTTCTGAACTATCAGTAATAAAAAATGAATACTGATCAACTATACTAGAGAAAAGACTAAATTATCTTCTTATTCTCTCTATAGAATATATTATAAAGCCACTGTCATATGAAGGTATGATTGATGTGTACATAGCCATAAAATGTTGGGGGGGGAAGCATGGAGAGGTGGGTCTGGTAGTTAGTTCAGTAATAAAAATATTGTATTTTAAAATTTTGCATTTGTAATTTGTAATATTTTTCAACTTTTAAAAATCTATAATATGGTTATTTCTTTTCTTAGTCCAAATAAATATTCACCTTTGCACCTAATTTTGTATTTATAATTGTTATTCTTTTACTTAAGGAGCCACCCTTGCCAAATTGTATACATATAAGCTTCAAACCCCACAAAATCTGGATTTGTTCTCTTATCATCATCCATTCTTGTCTCTTCTAATCTGTACACCACACCACAGCATAAAGGACCCTATACAAATTCATGTATGATTTTACTTCTCCCCTACTCTTCAAGTGATTTCCCATTAGCCTTATGATGAAGACCAAAATCCTTGACATAGGATCTGGGCCCTGTCTACCTTTCCACCTCCTTCTCTCCCTCTGCTCCAACTACACTGGCATCTTTTAGTTCTTTGAATACACTACCTCAAGATCTTTGCACATGCTGTACCCTGTGCCTAGGAGACATTCTACCACCCCACTGTCCCATTAACAAATTATCTCCTATTTAGACTCCCCAGGGCCACTGAAAGTTTACTTCCTCAACGAATCCTTAAATTAGGTCAGCCCTCCACCTCCTTAAATGTTCATTGCTCTCTTTACTTTTCCTTCATAGCATGTCTCCTTATTTGTAATTATACACCTCTGTGATTATTAGATTGTGTATATTTCTGCAACTAGACTGCAAGTTCCATGAAAAAGGAACAGTGTCTCCTCAGCATTAGTCTAGCATCTGCAATAAAGCTGGCCCTTAATTATACAATCTCTGCCATCAAATAGTTCATAATCTAGCCTCGTACTAAGAACAGTGATATAATTTTAAAATCTGGGGCATCAATGCATGTTCTTTTTTGTGCCAGAAGTCTTCATGGAAGTCTTGATTTCTTAGGGATTATTGCACCAGCTTGCAAAATGAGCCTAGTTTGAGGTTGTAACCCAGTACCATGGTCATCTGGGAACTACTCTGACCAGATTCCCAGAATAATTTTTCTTGCAGTGGACCTTTACTTCATTTTCTAAAGATTCTCTTGCCTTCTGTAAGGCTTTTTTTTTTTTTTTTCCAAAAGGTAACACTTCCTTTTGTGTAAGGCTTATAGTTGTATATATGCCATTTCAAAGTACTTCCACAATTATTTTTACCTAATAGTATAGTGCTTTCATGAGTTTTAAAACACTTTTTATGCCGGATGGTTTAGCTTAGAGAAAATACACTTTGTTAGGAGCCAGGAGGTACAGGTTGTTAGCTCTAAGTTGGGAATAAGGCTTGACCCCTCACCTTGCCAGGGATAATTCTGTTTTCATAGACTTCAGCAGAGGGTTGAGGTAGAGCTGTACTAGAGCTACCACAGAAATATTTGGAGCCTTAGTTCATGGAATTTTTCCCCCTAAAGATTACTTAATGTGGTTGGGTAACCATGTTTCAGGGGTTTTTTGTTCAACGTGCATATTCTCCAACATCTTCTAAGAGAGCTTTCAAAAATTCACCAAGTAATATTAGGTTGTCAGGATATCCCTAAGTTTGCTTGTTTGAAATCACGTTATCAGCTGAGGCTTGGAGTTAAGAAAGCTGACTCAGAATCCATCTTCAAATGTAATAGGTGAGTTGTAGATAAAATTAGAAATGATTAAATATAAGGGCCCTCATAAGTGTCTGTTGACTCTAAGATAAAATACGATAGAGACCAGACTTTTGCCCATTAGCTGATCTTACTATCTGGTAGGTACATTCCTCCCTTCTCTTAATCGCTTACTGTGAGCTGATTCCCTCCATTTCATCTTATCGTCTCTCCATTTTAGTATGTACGTATGTATTTATTTATTTATCTATTTATTTATTTAGCGAGTGAGCGAGCACAAGCAGGGGGAACAGCAGAGGGAGGGAGAAGCAGACTCCCCGCGAGCAGGGAGCCCCACGTGGGGCTCGATCCCAGGACCCCGGATCATAACCTAAGCCGAAGGCAGCCGCCTAACCAACTGAGCCACCCAGGCGCCCCACCTTCGCTCCATTTTAATCCTTGCACCAAGCGTTCACATTCACATCGCCCGAGAACCCAACCCGAGCCTCAGCCTGGAAAAAGTGCAAACCCCCCTCTCCGACCCGCTCTTCGCCCCCTTCCGGTTTCCGGGCCGCGGATCCGTCCTCCCTCCCTTTCCGCCCGCAGACCCACCCCGTCGGTCCTCACGTGACCGCAGGGCGTGCTCCGCCCCTTGTCCCCGGTTCACGTGATCGTGCTAGGGGAGAAAACGCCTGACCCCAGCCCCCGGCCTTTTCCGGGCAACCCTCTTCCTCCGGCGGTTCATCCGCCTTTTGCCCTTCAGACACCTGCGCGTCCCTCTACTCGGTCCCGGCCCCCCCCCCGCCCCGGAGCCCTGTCCGCCATGTGGCTCCTGCCTCTGGCCCCAACTGGGCCCCGGCGGAACAGCCCCCGTCACCTGCCTTCCTGCAGCCCTGCGCTGCTGCTGCTGCTGGGGAGCTGCCTGGGGGTCTGTGGGGTGGCGGCGGGCTCTCGGAGGCCCAATGTGGTGCTGCTCCTCACCGACGACCAGGATGAAGTGCTCGGCGGCATGGTAACTCTTCTATTTCTGCCCCGCCCCTCCATCTCCCGGGCTGACCCCCAGGTTTCTTGTCCTCTTTCCCCATCCCCACCCCAATTCCCTCAGCTGGCTGCCTTGGCCCAGGATAGTTTTGCTTTTGTCACGCCAGACCCCTTACGCAAGTTTGAGGGGCCGAGGACTCTATTTCGTCTTTCTCCCGCGTCTCTTCTGAGTAGGCACACATGCACGCACCACACAGAGCTCCTAGTCTGGACCTTAGTCCTGCGGAGTTCGCGTTCATAGCTCAAGATAAACAGGTGGACGCCAGTTAGGGATGGGCGGGACCAAGGAGGAGCAGGTGCTAGCTAAGAGCACGCAAGCTGTGTTTTTCTTTTATTAGAGGATTTGAGGACAAGTCCAGCCCTCTCTTTGAAGGACCTAGGGCACCTCTGTATTTGTCTCCGTGTACAATGTCTGTGCCTGATATTTGTAAAATAAGTGCTGAAATGAACTAATCTGGTAGGTAGGTTGTCGAACTATCGAGGGTGCGCTTTGCCTCACAAGAATCGAGAAAATTCAATTAGCCTAATTGAACACCTGGCTGGTGCACTCGCTACCATTGTCCGTATTCCATTTTAAATGCGTTTGGTCATGAGACTTCAATCTTTCCCAGAGTGGATTTTGCTTCTGTATCTTAGAGTTCTGGAATTTATGACCTTCAGGAGCTTTCACCCAACCCCCTAGTCATGGAGGCCCGAGAAAGTGGCTTTCCCAAGGCGCTTGAGTAGTTGAAACAGGTCAGAATCCTGACGAGTGCTCTGATTGGGTAGGGCATTTCTTTTATCTTTAAGAAAATACATATATCCTTTATTTCTTCGTTTCAGTTCTCTTTTTGCTTTCAGCTCAGTGTCCTTCAAACTGCCGATTTCAACCCATAAGTGAGTTGTGAAATTAGGTTAGTGAGTAGCTACCAGATTTTTACTTTCCTGTGGAATAAAGTAGAATAGAAATTGTTGGTGTGATACATGTGGTACATATGGTAAAGGTACACATATCCATATATATATTTCTGGTTATGAATGAAAATGTATTTCTTATTCAGGGCTGTGTCCATGACTCTGAGAAACTTTTCTAGTTTATGTTTCAGATGCTTGTGTTTTGACTCCACACTTCTTCCTGCCACGTATGCCTCATTGCCTTTTAGTTTCTGCTCTGCCACATTGACGTTGAAGAGTCTTGACTTAATTGCCCTCCTGGAATTTACTTTGTTTTTCCCATTCCCACCACTACACTGACCCTCCTCACAAAATTCCTTGAAAAAAATTTGTGTGTGTGTGTCCTCGAAAAGTGTTTTGTCTAGAAAAGGCAATCCATCTCCATCAAAAATTAGTAATAGCTTAGTGACTAAAACAATTAAAAGGTCAAGCTTTTACGTCTCTATTGAAAACATAAATTTATCACTGAAATATAAGGTGTTCAGAATTGAGTTTCTTAATTCTTACCACAAATGTGGTCTGTGTAGATTTGAGTTACCTTCTCCTTAGCATGTTAGTCGTATTTGCTTCTTTAAACTAGTATCAGATTCTTTTTTATAGGTGCTTATACTAGAGAGAAGAGCCAAAATTGAGTGGAGGGAACAAGTCAAATTTAATGCTCCCAACTCACTGGGGTATTCTGGCTTCTCTTGTAGCCTTTTCCAGAGTATTCTACCACTAGTTGTCAAACAGGACTTGAAGGGAAAGCATTAAGACAATAACAGCATTTGAAAACCAACTTGGAGCTGTTAGAGTATGAAGTATTTTATACTTGTGCTTCAGTCATTACAGGAGTCTTCTGTACATATTGTCCTTCCCTTAAATAAGAGGAAACTAATAACTTAGAGGGTGTTAAGTAACTTGGCCAAAGTTAGTATAGCTAATAAGTAGGAAAGCCTGGTGTCTTATGATCTCAAAGCCCCATTTTTTCTCATATGCTAGAATATTGTGATAATACTTATCAGATGTCATTCCACATACCCACATCAGCTGCTCACTTATTATACCTCAGATCAGAGATTCTTAAGATGATACTCAGGAACATTGTGTGTGTTGGGCGGGGGGGTCATGGAAGTCCTTAATTTATACGTAATACTCTGTATTATATCTTCATTTTTGTGGAGAGAGTGAGGTCTGACAAAAAAGATTATGAATTGCTGCCATCGTTGGCAAAATAAACAGTAGTCCAATCAACCAGATCAGCTCAGGTCAAAGGATTATAGTGCTTGTGTGATTGTTTTTTCACATAGAATCTTTCAGTCATCTTTGAAATCGTCTTTTATGCATCATCTTTAACATTGCACTGTATTTCTTGCAGTATCATCTGTGGGACTTTGGTTTGTTTGCTTAGGGAACAGTTCCTATTTTTTTATTTTACTTGAATGTTATTATGGCAGGATGAACACACTGTTCTTCACAAAAGCACAGGTTGCCCTTTTTAAAGTCATTCACTCTAGAAAAAGTGACATTTGGTCAAAACTTCAAGGAAGTGAAGGAAGGAGCCGTGATGAAATGTAGGGGAAGACTACATCATGTCTTTGCTTAAAAGCAAGGTGGTCTTTCGTTGTTAAAAGAAAAATTAGCCATAGATTATTAGAAATGTTAAAATTTCATTTCACAGCAGCTGTACATGGGAGCCAAAAAAGTAAATGACTCCTTAGGATTTTTATGTAAGGGATTTGCTTTGGAGGAGTAAAGTAACACATTTACCCGTATTCAGGTATAAGATTGGCTACTGCTTAAGCAATGTTGTACAGCCTTGACCTGACCAGCCTTGCAGTATCTTTTCTGACATCTTAAGGGTCCATTTTAGCATTCAGATTAGCATGAACATGCACATTTTCAGTACAGTGTGGTTCTTGTTTAGGATTTGTTTGGTTTAGCACAGATTATGGTTATCACTGTACTAGTGTTAGCAGTATAAAAATTATGGTCATTAATATAAATTTCTTACTGACACTAAAATCTGTGTTCCTATGCAGCCGTGCATCATCTGCTGGCTCCTGCCTAACACCTTGACCTTGTCTTACACCATAGTCTCCTTTACTTGCTGTGCTGCTTCTACCACATTCGCCGCCTTTCTGTTCCTCACATGTGCCTCTTCTCCAGCAGCCCTTGTCCTTGCTATTCACTCAGCCTGGAAGCACCTTCTCCTGGATCTTTGCATGGCTGGCCTCATCATGTGACTCTGAGTACCAAAGTTACCTCCTGAAAGAGGCCTCTCCTGACCACCCTTCTAAAGTAGTTTCCCCCTTTCCTCTCACCAGGTGTAAGCACGTCATCCTGGTTTATTCCGTTCATAGCACTTTTCACTGCCTGAAATGATTGTTTACCTGTTAGGTGTTTAAGTCCCCAAGAGTACAAAGGTCATGAGGTTAAGGGCCCTCTGTCTTTTGTCCGTCCTGGTCTCCATCAGTGCCTGGCACACATTAAGTGTTTAACAAATGGGTTATAATCACACAGTATGGTCTTACTGTAAATCAGATATTTCTTCAGTAGTTTTGCATATTTACCAGTTTGAGGATTAAGTCCCATATAATCAACTCACATAGTCCTTTCCCCACTTACACTTTGTATTCTCATTTCCCCTTCCTGTGTCATCATAACTCAGATTTCTTGTCAAACCAGTGTTTCATTCAGCCCAATATTCTTTACCTGAAGGTAGCACCCAGTGATGTTTTGTGGAGATCATAGCTGGTGACATTGCTTCTGAAGGTTAACGAAGACCTTATACATCTGTAGCATCTCCTGGGAACCTGTTATGGATCTACTCATGAAATTATGAAGGTCTTAAATAAATTATAATCCTCATCCTTTTGAGCTTATGGGTTCTTTAGGTTTTTTACTATATATAAAACAGTGGGGGAGAGTCATTTATACAGTATTATAAACAAGACCCTTGTTAACGTAATTATATATTTAGATTATCTTTAAGGAATTACTGCACAATAAGGTATACTTAAAACACTAAATATGGTCTTAGATTTCAAAGGTACTTCAAAATCATCATGAACTGATTCATACAATACAACTAAAATTAGAGTCTCTTCAGTGGTACTTTTTTGTTGTCTGGAATCTGAATAAAGATTGTTAGTGTTCCTTTTATTTGTATTTAAATGACCTTCTTCATACTTTTATCCTCACTCTAGGATTTGAGATTAATTGTTGTCAGTACTATTTGCCACCTGGTTCAAGTCCTTGCCTGAGGTGGTGATTGGTCTAGCGCATGGGGTTTTGAGCTTACAGTTGAAAAGCGTGCATTTGGACTCCCATCACTGGATTTGTGATATTTGAGTCCTTTTCTGGGCTTCAGGACCTTATCTGGCTTTCAAACCTAAGCGTTATTTCTGTTTTAAAGGGTAGAAGGTTCCTTTCATCTCTTAGCCCACATCTTGCTCCTTAAAGATGAATTAATGGAGATCTGCCCTATCTATCTTGTGAGGGGGCTGGTGATGAAAGACAGCACCAAAATTTCTTTACATTGAAATCAGTATTGCTAGAATAATGCAATGAGCTGTGAACTTTCCCTTCCTTCAGGCATTATGACCCCTCTAATCTTTTGCATGGGACATAACTGACTATAACCAAACTTGTTTGGTTCATCTCCAGAATCACACAGGACTCTTCTTGGCGGTTTCTTAGTGTCAAATGGAGCTGATTGTTGCAAATGAGATGCAAAAAACATAGTTTTGGTCTGTGTGTTTTGTTTATTGGAGGAAATGGTTTAACAGATGATTATTTACTTCACAGACACCACTAAAGAAAACCAAGGCTCTCATTGGAGAAATGGGGATGACTTTCTCCAGTGCTGTAAGTTTTGAAGTTAACTTAATTTTGTGAGACTTTCTGTTCATGTTCTAAGAAGAAGCACTCTCTTTTGGGGAGTCTAATCTCTGTGGTTTTTTCCCTGGTTAAATGCCTGATCTAAAGGAAGGACTTTATTTAATGTGATTTAAATTCTTTTAATTGAAATACTACTTTTTACGAATTGAACCTTAATTGTAGGTTTTTTCTAAGCCAGTTTGATTTATAGCTCAGAACTAGAGAATTTTCTTTAAAGCCTCACTGTTTGAGGTTTGAAAATGGATTGGAATAATCAAGTTAACATTCATGCTATGTAAATTGCTTTGTGGTCAACGCTTGCGGGACACTTTACAAAGCCCAGTTAACCCTGACAGTCAAACCTGAGAAAGGTAATAGTAACCAAACAAAACAAACATCTGTGTGTGTATATATACACATATATGTGCGTATGTGAAATATAAATATATATGTATATATAAACGTAGGTGCGGGGCGCCTGGGTGGCTCAGTCAGTTAAGCGTCCGACTGTTGATCTCAGCTCAGGTCTTGATCTCAGGGTTGTGAGTTCAGGCCTGGTGTGGAGCCCAGATGAAGGAAGGGAAGGAAGAAAGGAAGGAGATGCAAAGAGATGGAAAGATCCGTAATAAAATACTAACAAATCAAATTCAGGAACCATGCACATAACCAAGTAAGTAGTAGCCTAGCTTATCAGGAAATCCATTAAACAGCAACATAGTGTTTTGCTTAAGACCACAGATTCTAGAGCTGGATCACCTAGTTTCGAATGTTCTCTCTGCCTCTTTTCTAACTGTGTGACGTTGGGCAAGTTATTAACCTTTCTGCGGCCCTTGGTTTCCCCATTTGTAACTGGGTGTACTAAAAGCTGTCTCGGGATTCTGTGATATTAAATGAGTAGATAGGTGTAAAGCAAGCACTTATATCAGCACCTGACTTATAGTACATACTGCAAAATGGTAGTTGTTATATTGTCCACCAACAAGATCAGTAGTTGAAAGACGAAATCTTAATAGACGCTTGAAAGTCCTCTGAAATTTTAGCATCCTTTCCTGGTAATGTATTAAACTGTTAGAAGAATGCATCCTTATTATGATGAGTATTTCAAACAAATAGCACACCTTATAGTTAAGGTGAAAGACTCAGGCCACTGCTATTAGAGATGAGACAGGGGCCTAATACTTGTCACTTAATGCTGTTCTGAATTGTCTAGTCATTGGCACAAGCCCTGCGGAATTAACTGGAATATTGGAAAAAGACACACTTATTATTTCCACTTCTTTGTATTTTCTACCTAGAAAACGTAGAATTGTTTGAAAACTTTTTAAATTAGTAGAGTTTAGTAAGGTAGAAATGAAAAATAAAAATAATCTTCTCCTGTATAACCAGTTAGAGAAGTACTAGGGAGGAGAGAGAATAGAGCCCATTCATACAGCAGGAAAATGCAGACTCTAGGTATAGCTGGTGGTGGCCAGTAATGGTTAAGACCTATATAAATAAGGTTACAGAACTTTGTGCATGATGTAATAATAATACTTAACATGTAGACACACCCATCATTTTCTGTGGGAAGACCCAGGATTAGTTTATCCTAATCAGAATCTCAACAAGATTTTTTTTTTAGGCTGAAAAAAGTGATTCTAAATTTATCTGGAATTATAAGTAGGTTAGAACAATCAAGGTAATTTCTTAAAGGAGGAAATTGCCCTTCCAGATAATAAAATGTAATATGAAGATACAATAAACAGTGTGAGATTGATCAAAAAATAGGTCAGCAGACAAAAAAGTGAAAGGATTGAAAGGCTTGCCAATGTAAAAATTACAGAAGTCAAATATCTGACAAAATTTAAAAAGCAGAAGTAAAAAATGGCAAATATATGTAACATGACTGAATCCTCCCTTAACTCAGATTTTATGTACAAGAAGCTGATGCCCCAGGAGGAAAAAATGTACAAAGCACATGAACAAATCATTCACGTAAACACAGTTGGTCAGTATGCATGTGGAGAATGTTCATCCTCACCAGTATTTAAAAATGCCACATCCAATTTGAAAGGCCAAAGAAATGCCGATTATTTAAAAGGGATAATATGTAATTGTGGCAAGGGTGTACTTGAATGAGCATTCCTTCCCTGCTGGTGAGAGTATAAACTAGTATTATTCTCTGTAAAGTGGCTTGGTGATGTGTACTAAGACGTATACAAATATTAGGTAGAATGGGCAAAGTTTAATGATAGTAGCTAATAGAAATAGAGTAGAAAGAATAATCTATGTCCAGTGTATTAAGTGATACAGGAAATATATAAAGCTACAGATTATCCTGAAAATGAACCTGTGCCTCTCAGCTACATTAGATTCAAGTAGTAGTCTTTATTTTTGGTTAAGACCTACCTCCTAGAGGCGCCTGGGTGGCTCATTTGGTTAAGGGTCCTACTCCTGATCTCAGCTCAGGTCTTGATCTCAGGGTCTTGAGTTCAAGCCCCATTTTGGGCTCCACACTGGGCATAGAGCCTACTTAAAAAAAAAAAGACCTAGCTCCTATCCTGTAAATGTTTCTTTGGCAGATGAGATTGGAATAACTTATTCTGCAGAAAGAAACCCAACTGAAAAATCTGTTCTCTTGGTTTCTTTTATCTGGTTTACTTCTCTACTATGTGACTTAAAACAGCTCAGAAGTGTGTCATGTGTTACCAAAAAAAACCCAAAAAACTCTATTCCATGGGAAACTTGAAATTCAAAGAGTATTAAGTAGCTTTCTTTACTCTCTTTAGAAATGATGAGAAATCCATCTTTCTTGTGTAACTGGGTTTTTTGCTTCTGTTCCCTTTGTAGTATGTGCCAAGTGCTCTTTGCTGCCCGAGCAGAGCCAGTATCTTGACAGGGAAATACCCACATAATCATCACGTTGTTAACAACACTTTAGAGGGGAACTGCAGTAGTAAGTCTTGGCAGAAGATCCAAGAACCAAATACTTTCCCAGCAATTCTCAGATCGATGTGTGGTTATCAGACCTTTTTCGCAGGGAAATACTTAAATGAGGTAGGTTGAATGATCTAATTATTCCTTTAAAAAAAAGGTTTATAAATGTGAATTAATGTAATTCATGTTGTCTTTTAGTTATTATCCATTTGAGTCATGTTAAAATGTTTTTGGTATATGTTGTTTTCTCCTAATCTGCCCATTAAACAAGAATTTACTTACATGAGCATGTTTACATGATTTAAGTACTATAGTTCTTCTTCCTTTAAATAGCCTCATAGCATTTATTTAAAAGTTGTCCTATGACTGCTGCTGTCTGATGCATCTTCCCCTTTTTCTTCAAGAATTTTGCTTCTCATGTGGCTGTCATGGTATCTTTGTCTCCATTTCCCCTTTATCAGGATGAGAATGAAGAATTTTTTCCTCCTACCACCTTTCCTGCATTATAACAACTTAAGACTTAGTCCATTTTCTAACTTGAAAAAATGGGAGAGATCAGTGATAGAGGGAAAACACCCAGAGCCTGGGATATTCAGGCCACTAAAGCATATGGCTTAGTGGTGGATATGCTGGCCTCTTGTGCGCCTGCATGGAGGGATACCCATTACAGCCTGCCAAGGCCAGATTTCATGGCCCCCGGGTTCACCACATTGGCCTTAGCTTTTTAGTCAGAGTTCAAACTTAAAGGAAATAGTTTATTTGAGAGTATCTCGGTTATCTCTTATAGTAAAACTGGGGATGCAGGATAAAGAAAAGATGTACATTTTCTTATATACTTTATCCATGGTTGCTAGAGATACTAATATTTGATCTGAATTTTCTGTTCATTCTTTCCCTCCCCACAATAATTGGGAGAATTTGCAACCTAGTGAGTTTGAAGGAAGAGAAGTCAGTTTGAAAAGAATCATGAGAAATAAGTACCGATACTAGGTTATTTAGATAAGGCTGTGGGTCATAAAGAGAATTTATGCCACTTTGTATATCAAAGATCATTTAATTGTATACAAAATTCGGAGAAATTCATTAAAATACAAAGATTTCTCATGTATTAAATTCTTCCTTAATTGGGCAGTACTACGCCTTGTTGAGATAAAATGGGATGATTCTGTGGTCACTTAATTCATCTCATCAAATAAGTTAGGCTCCAAAAATAGGTTTCATCATCAGGACAAGTGAAGTTATAGGCTGAGAGCTCACAGTCTGATTATTTAGGCTGTTGTTAGCCACAAGCTCAGTTGGAGTATTCAGTCTCTGCCTCAGGAAACGAACTCTGTGGCCTAAGCCATGCAGACTTTTTCTAGAAAGGGCCAGAAGTAAATAATTTGGGCTTTGCAGGCCGTATGTCTCTTTTGTGATGACAGTAGTCCCCCCCACACACCTTATCCACGGGGGATGCTTTCCCAGACCCCCAGGAGATGCCTGAAACCACGATAGTACTAAACTTTATGTATACTGTTTTTATCTGTGTATATGTACCTGTGATAAAGTTTAACTTCTAAGTTAGGCACAGTAAGAGATTAACAACAACTAATAACAAAATAGAACAATTGCAACCATATAATGCAATAAAAATTATGTGAATGTTGTGTCTCTCAAAATATCTTATTGCACTGCACTCCCCCTTCCTGTGATGATGTGAGATGGTACAGTGCCTACGTGATGCGATCACGTGAGGGCAATGACAGGCATCGGGACCTTCTGACAGGAAGATCATTTGCTTCTGGACTACAGTTGACCCCTGGTTAACTGAAACCATGGGAAATGAAACTGCAAATAATGGGGAGTCCTTTATTTGACTCTACCATCGTAGCATGAAAGCAGCAATAGACATACACAAACCAAAATGAGTGCATCTGTGTTCCAAAAAAACTTCATCACCGAAATTTCAATTTTCTAAAACTGTCACATGTCACAAAATATTCCTCTATTGATTGCTGTTTGTATTTTTTAATGGTTGGAAAAAAATTCTTAGCTTGCTGATCATACAAATAGTTGGCAGGCTAGATTTGGCCTGCTGGCCATAGTTTGCAAACTCCTGCTTCAGAAGTTCCTAGGATTATAGTGTTCTTTACTTTTTGACTGGATTTATGTGTTGGGGAAAATTGAGCACCTGGTTTCAGACACTGATCTAAAAGGATTCTAAAAGTTTCCTCTTTCTTTCTGATCTGGTCATGTCTAAGCATTTCTGATGTCCTGCTTATCTTGCTTTTCAGTATGGAGCCCCAGATGCCGGTGGACTAGAACACGTTCCTCTAGGCTGGAGTTATTGGTATGCCTTGGTGAGTGATTATTGAAGTCTGTGACAATTATACACAGCCCTACAGTAAAATATGTTTACTCTGTAATTTAGCTCTGATTTTGATATAAGTTGCTTTGCGTTTATGATTAGCTATTTTATCCTCTTAAAAGCAAGTCTATTGATTTGGGAATCACTCCTCTGGGGGATGTTTTTCCTACATCACACAAGGTTTAGTTACATATTTGTCAGTTCTATCTGATCCACTTGTGGCTTTTTAAACTACGACAGATTATTGAAACTATGCTAATAGTTAATAAAACTCTAGTCAGAAAATCCAGTTCAGTACTAACTTGAGTAATTACCTTTTTTTTTTTAATGCCTTTTTTTTCTTTAAAGATTTATATGACTGGGGCTGGCGCGGGGGACTGGGGCAGAAGGAGAGAGAGTCTGAAGCAGACTCCGTGCTGAGCGTGGAGCCTGATGCAGGGCTGAATCTCACAACCCTGAGATCACAGCCTGAGCCAAAACCAAGAGTCTGACGCTTAACCGGCCATGCCACCCAGTTGCCCCAAAATGTCTTACCACTATTTAAACAGAGTATAGTTTAGCCCTGCATGATTTCTGACTTTCATTTGGTGTGCTGACCTCTTAACAAATTTTACTTTCCTGTCTAATAGGAAAAGAATTCTAAATACTATAATTACACCCTCTCTATCAATGGGAAGGCACGGAAGCATGGTGAAAACTACAGTGTGGACTACCTGACAGATGTTCTGGTGAGTTATCAAAGCTCTGTCCTTGCAGGTTTGGCTCACAATTGATTGAAACCTCTGCTTAGAAAACCTTTGGACTTGGTCATGTTGAGTAATGTAAATGAATAATGACTTCATTTACCTGCCAAAAATATTTCCAACTGATTAAAGACTCCTGAGGGCATTTTTCTTTGTATATAAGCCAGGCTCAGAGTTAATGTTCTTGAAATTCCAGCAACAAATCCTTTTCCAAAGGCTAATCTCTAAGACTGTAGAGATTACTTTGAAGAGATTTTACTTTAGAGGTTCTTACTCTTGACCCCAGATTCACTCGCAGGCTATGAGAGGACAGCTTCACCATGAGGATGGGGAGCTAGGGACTGGGAGTTCTTAAGGCTTTGTGGATTTCTATATAAAAATTACTGAAACTGGGTGAATTTAGGACTTTCCTTTCCTGTCTGAGGTGTTTCTAATGACAGCCCTCCACAGAGTATTTATTCACCAAATATTTCAGCACCCAGCATAGCAGGTGTTCAGTAAATGAAGCAGAAGCCCTCTTGGTGATCAGGTAGACAAATAAGACAAGGTATGGGGGTTACTTAGATAACGTCTAAAGAGGTGAGAGTGACTTGTGCAGATCAGTGGAAAGGGTGCACAGACAGAGGGAACAATGGCTGTGGGGGCACTGAGGCAGAAGTGTGCTCGGCATGTTGGGACCACAGGCTTCTGACAGGGCTAGAGTAAGCAGGTGGGTCAGATGGTCAATATCCTTTGAGTTTAGTGATGGAAATAAATGAAGCTATAAATCAACTAGAACAATTAAACGCATAGCATGTATGTGGGATGCTTTCATTTTCATAATGTATCTCCAGATAAGCAAATGAAAAATATAAGTCAATATAAATTAAAATCCTGGTGTGAGGTATTTGGATTTAATGTTGTTCATTTAGCTTAGCTGCTTTAGCTGGCATAACTTATGATGTCTACGCTCTGTATATTTTTATAAGAGTAAGGTAACTTAATCCACCTGTCCCACTGTGAATTAGATTGACTCTCTTTTTATATACTTCAAGGTATCAGAGGCATACTCTAAGCCGTATTAATGCAGGCTAATCCTTAAAAGGCCAAATTACTATTTCTTTCCGTATGAGAGGCATAACAATTTTTAGATCATGTCTAATCACTAAGATCTTACTTGCTTTTTAGGATGGTATGCTTTTTTTATACTTATTTTTTTAAATAAGTATTGCCTAAAACCCAAATATTTGTTCCAACAACACACTTGTAAATAACTGTGACATAGATTGTGTTAACGTTAAAATTGTTAAAATTGGTTAAAATTTTTAAGATTGATTAAAAACTAATATGACCCTATACCTCCTGTATACCTGAGAACATGCATCTCTCAAGTCCTGAACTGTTGGGTAAGATAGAAGGTGACAGATCTTTGTATATCTCAGGCTAATATCTCTTTGGGCTTCCTGGACTACAAGTCCAACTCTGAGCCGTTCTTCATGATGATCTCCACACCAGCACCTCATTCTCCTTGGACAGCCGCACCTCAGTACCAGAAGACCTTCCAGAACGTCTTTGCACCAAGAAATAAGAACTTCAACATCCATGGAACGGTAGCTTCCCTTAACCCTTGAATTAAACACTTGATATAAGTAACTGTATATTACCTTGTTAGGGAGCCTTTGAGCCATGTAGTTGGTTTTCCTTCCAGATCTTTTAAAGGTAATTGTACCTATCTTGAGTATAATAGATAGCATAAACTTGCTTCAGAAGGACAGATAAGCTTCCTGCCACACATCCAGTTAACAGCTGGAGAGTCCACAGGAAATACTAAAGAAATGCTATCTTTCTTGACTACAGGCTCTCCTGCTAATCTCTGTGCTGGCTTTCCTCCTACGTGGCAGTGACTGAGACATGTCCCATGGGGCTGAGCTAGGGCTGCAGCAGCCTCCTGTGGGTGGCCCTCACCAGGCCTGAGGCATAGGAAAGAGGGGGTAACATAGTGCAATATGATTAGAAAGGGAAGTTGAATGGAGAGATGAGCCAGAGCAGGGAATATAATTAAGGACCACAACCTAAATACTTGCCTAATATGCCAGTTACTTATACTTTCCTTGGCACAGAGGGTAGGCTGTTCACTGGTTCAAAGGCAGAAGTTCTGTACTGCCTTGTGCCTGTTGCCCAGAAATCTTAATTGCTGGTGAGATGTGGTAGACTGAATGAGTCTTGGATTAGACTCAGCACTACCACTTTCAAGCCAAATGACCTGACTGAGCAAGATGCTTAACTTCTGCTTTTCTGTCTAAAGTGGGAGAAATAAAGTGGGAGGTCCTCTTTCCTTATGCAGCTGCAATATGGATTAAAGAACATAGAAATATGCAGCACGTTGCCTGGCACATTGTAGGCAAATGTTTTAAGTAGGATTTTTAAAGCTGAGAGAACGGAGTTTTGAACTAGAGGGCCATTCTCTAAGTTCCAAAAGAAGTTAATAGAAGTTCCCTTAAGCAAGTAAGTTTAGAAATTTTAACTAAGTCACTCTATTACATAATTTCTCAGAATTATTCCTGTTCCAACATGAATTTCCAACAGGAGGATATGCTGTATAACGTTTCTCAAACATATTAACTAAGAACCCTTTGAGGCTGATAGTTTGGGAGATGGTAACTTAGGGCTTTATGAGTAGAGAGGAGAGAATTAATGATATATGAGAATGTTTTTGTTCTTTAGAACTGTGAGTGCTTTATTTAAATGACAAGAACCCTCTAGATGTGGGCTTGAGGTTTTAGGAAATTGCTATGATGAGATTTTTCCCAGGGTTCTAGGATAATCAATATCTTGGGTAGGAAAATAGAGGGTGATAGAATGATGGCTTATTAGGGCAAAACTTATTGGAAGGTAAAGTTAATACTTACCCTTTTGTAGCCTGGGTAGTAGACCCAAAGCATAGACTAGGTGTTAATAGATTCAGTCTCCTTTTAACCAGTAGTTTCCCAATATCTTTCACTAAATCTCTTGGAATGCTGATTAATGCTGCTAACAAGGAGCCCAGGCCTTCGGAGCTACTGGGAAGAAGCTAAAGAATGAGTGATAATCTGTAGAGAGTGTTTTTAGGAGTACATGGGGCAGGGGAGAGGAAGTCTTAAGTTCCTTAAATGCTCCGGTAAGTTCCTTTTTGCTGAAGTATAAAATGCTCCTTTCCATTTTGTACTCTAGTAGTTTATTTGATTGTAGTGACTTGGTGCTAACATTTTTTTTTCTTTTAAATTTTAGAATAAGCACTGGTTAATTAGGCAAGCCAAGACCCCAATGACTAATTCTTCAATACAGTTTTTAGATAGTGCATTTCGGAAAAGGTAAGAGCTGCTGCTTTCTCAATCTGGGTGGTCTTTGAGGACCTTCCAAATCAGCCCATGAACAGGGGACTGCACAATGTGGTTATCTTTGAGACAAAATCAGAAGGTAGCAAGTTGGTGGGAGAGACTCTTTGATTGGGGGGTCTGCTGCCCCAGAAGGTCTTTGGACCTCAGGACTAATAAAACTAACAAAACAATTCATTTTTATGACTTGTTAAAACATAATTGCAAGCTGGAGCCATTTGGTTAAAAAAAATTTTTTTTTCTCCCTATGTCTGAAGAAAAGGTCTCTTTGTAAGAGCTCAGGCCCAATATTTGCATAAGACCCAAGGGCTTAGACTAGAGCGAAATATTTGCCATTGCTATTTGAAATTTCAAGGAATTTCTTTAAGTCAGTTCTTAAAAATTCATTACAGTCTCTTAAGATGTATTTAGATTATACCAGGGGCTAGCAAACTTTTTCTGTAAAGGGCCAGAGAGTAAATATTATAGCCTGTCAGGCCAGACAGTTTTTGTCACAGTTGCTCAGCTTTGCTGTTGGAGTAAAACTAGGCAATATATGAATGAATGAGCACGACTGTGTTTCCGTAAAACTTTATATAAAAATAGTGAGTTGTTTAATGGGTACAGAGTTTCAGATTTGCAAGAAGAAAAGTTTCTGGAGATCTGCTTCCCTGTGTGAATATACTTAATGCTATTGCTTGTACCCTTAAAATTTGTTAAGATGGTAAATTTTATGTTGTGTGTTTTTTATCACAATTTAAAAATAAAAACAGTGGGCAAACTGGCCCATCGCTATAGTTTGCCAACCCCTAGTTTAGACCCTTAAACGTTGTTGTGGCATGGGTCTATCTGAATTAATCTGTGCTCATCAGTACTGAATTGACAGCTTTCCCTTCCAGTTGTTTCTGCTCTCATCACCAGTGTTAATAAAGTTAACTGGTTATTAAAAGCCTCGTTTATTTCTTTGAGAACAGTTAAATTTATAATGAACTAATTGTGTTCTGGGATTTTCTAATTTTTTTTTTTTTTTTTTTTTTTAAGTGAGTGGGCTGAGGAAAGGAGATTTGGGATTTGAGCTTTTGGGGAGCGTGGTTTGGGGGCTTTGGGTGGTTTTGTTTCGGACTTTTCTAATTTTTTTTTTTTTTTTTTTTTTAAGTGAGTGGGCTGAGGAAAGGAGATTTGGGATTTGAGCTTTTGGGGAGCGTGGTTTGGGGGCTTTGGGTGGTTTTGTTTCGGACTTCTCTCCTGCTTTTTTGGCAAGATAGCATTCCTTCAGCCATTGTTTCTGAAATCCTGTTGTCACCCTCTGTGTACATCCAGGTGGCAAACTTTACTCTCAGTTGATGACCTTGTGGAGAAACTGGTCAAGAGATTGGAATTCAATGGGGAACTTAACAACACGTACATCTTTTATACCTCAGACAATGGCTATCACACAGGTAAGGGGCAGACTGGGGTGTTCCTGTGGCCTTGATGAGGTGCCTTTCCTTTTCACCCAGTCAGTAGCACTAGCACGGAGCTCTAGGCCTATTGTAGCAATGGATAGGCCAGAGGGGGAGTGTGCTGCCCTCAAGACCCCTCTGGTTAGAGGGTCAACTCATTCACACATGGAGAGATCAGGTTTTGTTATTTGATATTTCATGTGCCAAATTAAATGATGTACTAGGATTTGGGATCAGAGAGTGGGCTTGCTAGGTTGGAGGCAGGCTTTAGGAAAAAGGTAAGAAACTGAACTAGATTTATTTTTCTTAAAGATTTTGTTTATTTGAAGCGGGGGAAGGAGGGAGCTCAAGCAGGGGGAGTGGTAGAAGGAGAGGGAGAAGCAGGCTCCCTGAGGAGCAGGGAGCCCCATGCGGGGCTCCATCCCAAGACCCTGAGATCATGTCGTGAGCCAAAGGCAGGTGCTTAACTGACTGAGTCACCCAGGCCCACCAAAACTGAACTAGATTTAAAGGGCAAGTAGACCTTAGAGACTAGGGGTAGGAGATTCTATACAGAAAGACCAAGAAAAGGTTGTCTTGGGGGAAAAGCCCTTTCTTGTGAAATTATGAGATGTTTTATTGATTTTTTTTGCGTGTGTGGATATTTGTGGTTTTTGTTTTATGTTTTGTCTTTTCAAAACTATAAGTCAACCCCATATCCTTGACTTTGCTTTTTTCCGCTTGGATTTTCTTAAAAATGAATGTCGTCTTTCCCCAGCTATCAATTTCATAAACTTGAAAACTACTAACCTGAGGCTTGCTTGCATAGGAGCAGATTGATGAGGCATTTAATGTTTTGTTGTGAATATTTTTAAGCACTTAAAGCAGAGACTAATAAAATAACCTCCATTTCCAGCTTCAGTTTTCAGCTACACATGGCCAGTCTTTCAAATTCTTCCTACCTTCCCCATGTTTGTCTTTATTTAGCTTAGAGGGTTTTGAAGAAACTTTATTGTGATCCTGTACATCAACACTACATTGTGTATCTGACTAGTTTATTATGTATCAGGGTCTAGACAAAGTCCACATGCTCCCTGTATTTTTTATGTGCCCTGAGGCTGGTTATTGCCACTGATTTATTGGGAAGAGTTTTTGTTGTTGTTGTTCTTTAGAATATCTCACATTCTGGGTTTGGCTAATTGCATTCTCATGATGCCTTAACTTGTGTTTCTGTAGTCAGCATTTTCTGTAGATTGGTAGTTAGCTCTAGAGTCTTAATAGAAATGGACACTTTCAGCGAAAATGCTTCCTTGGTGATACTGATAAGTACTTCCTATTACATCACTTCATGATGGTGTCTGGTTGACCCACTTTATCGATGCTGCTATTAATCAGTGGCTCGTGTGGTGTCAGCCTGGGCCTGTCCTATGAACTTTTTGTGGCTGAAGCTTCCATTGATGATTGTTGCTTTAATCCACTATTCTCTCAAAAATGGCCAAATGATGACTTCATAACCCTGTTCTTCCTTTTGCGTTTATTAGTTGGAATTCCTTAGAGAAGAACTCAACTGTTTGGTTATCTTGAAATGCAGTTTATTCAGGAAAGGCCAGATAAATGTTTTTGTCCCTTTATTTACAGTTTTTAAGAGTAACCTCATTCAATTGTAGTCAGGTTAAGTATCATACATAAATGATGTGTTTGTGTTTCAGTACTTTCCAGTCATTGTTTTTGCTGAATTTGTCCTATCTTAGACCAAAGAGTCCCCCTAGCCATTTGTTTAAAGAAGATGAACCCATGGGGCGCCTGGGTGACTCAGTCGGTTAAGCGTCTGCCTTCGGCTCAGGTCATAATCCCGGGGTCCTGGGATCGAGCGCCGCATCAGGCTCCCTGCTCAGTGGAGAGCCTGCTTCTCCCTCTCCTTCTGCCTGCAGCTCCCTCTGCTTGTGCTCTCTCACTCACATGCTTCTGTCTCTCAAATAAATGAATAAAATCTTTAAAAAAAATAGAAAAAAAAGATTAACTCATTTCCTGCCTTGTAGTAATAAGAGACCCAAGCAATTATAAACTTCCCATTAAAGCCCCATAAATAGTAGAACAGAGTTGTTTTCATTCTTACTGTCGATTGAGTGAATGTGTGAAGTGACACTCTGTCCTGGCTCCATCTTTACCCTCTGTGTTTTGTTTTCAGGACAGTTTTCTTTGCCAATAGATAAAAGACAGCTGTATGAGTTTGATATCAAAGTTCCACTGCTGGTTCGAGGACCTGGGATCAAACCAAATCAGACAAGCAAGGTAGGTGCCTGAGAAACTGATGCTGTTTACAGGTAGCACTTGCCTGAGGAAAGAAGGCTGTTCCTCTAAAGAGGAGGCTGATTAGATTTCTCCTCCTATGAGGATGAAGTCTGATCGGCTTAAGATCTTATAAGTATTAATAAGCCTTGGAGATGGTGATTCCCTTTTTTACTTTTATTTTTTTAACTCCTGGGCACCTTCTATTAACTGTACTCCCCGCCCCCCCGATATATACATATCCTATCAGTATGAGTATCTTTTATTTGTCCTTCAAGACTGTAAATCTTTACTTTGTCCTGGAGCAGTGACTTTCCACCATGGTCCTCATCAGCATCACCTGAAATTGTGAAAGGTTCAACATCCAGAATGGTTCTAATGGACTCACTTGGACTAGAATAGAGACCCAGCCTCTGCTTTTTTTTCTGCAGCTCACAGATAATTCTGAGAGGCAGCCCAGTTTGGGTCCCACTATCCAGTAGATCAGAGCTCCTCGGGCTGATCGCCCTGGGGCCGTGTTAAAATGCAGATACAGATTCTGATTCTGCATTTCTGACCTCCCAACTGATAGCTGCTGCCGGTCTGACCTCACTGAGTATAAGGCTATAGAAAGCATGTTTTCTCAGGATTTCGTCCCTCTTTCTGTGGGACTCTTCCTTACTAAAGCATTGCTGTTTTACTGATTCTTTCTCCTAGAACTGTCATAATGTACCACTTTCTTTTGTGGCCATTTCCATTTGGTTTCAGTATCTTTTTCCAAACTGGGTACCTAATACTGAGGCACTTTGTTCCTGGAGATTGTGGGCACTCTGATCCAAAACACTTTGGTCTAATGCTTGGAAGATAAGAATTGATAAGCTCTACTAGTTATGTCTTCTTTTCTGTAATAACACAGTTTCAGTCCTAGCTCTGTGAGACAAAAGAAAATGAACAAATACATCATTTAAGCTAAAATTGGAAAATGGACCAGACTTTCTGGGTATACTAGGTACTTTAGTCTAATTTTGGTGTTTAATGTTTAAGTGTCTAATTCACTTTTTTTTGTAATGTTCATGATGGAATTATGTTGAAATTCTTTCAGAAAGGTAAAATGGCCTTCATAATTTCTTTTGAGTTTTCTTTTTTTCTTAACACCTACATTCCTAAAGCCAGTCACTTCCCAACAAATTCAATACCCTATAAATGGGTCTCCTTTCAAAGGAGATAGGTGAGTTTGGAGGACCATGAAGTCTTTTTTTTTTTAAGCCTTTATTTATTTGAATTTTTTACTTTTTTAATCTAAATTCAATTAACATATAATGTATTATTTGTTTCAGGGGTACAGGTCTGTGAATCATCAGTCTTATTTAATACCCAGTGCTCATTACAACACATACCCTCCCCAATGTCCATCACCCAGTTACCCCATCCCCTCCAGCAGCCCTCAGTTTGTTTCCTGAGATTAAGAGTCTCTTATGGTTTGTCTCCCTCTCTGGTTTTGTCCTGTTTCATTTTTTTCTCTCTTCCCCTGTGATCCTCTGCCTTGTTTCTTAAATTCCACATATCGGTGAGATCATATGATAATTGTCTTTCTCTGATTGACTTATTTCGCTTAGTCTTAAAAGCGTTTTCTTGATCTTGGTGTTGGGAGTTGACTCAGGAGAACATATTGGCAGCTGTGTGCATTTCCAAGGAACAGGACTACTAGGGCCACTTCTAACCAGCGTGGGGAAGGAGGCTGAATGAGAACAGAATGGAATGTGTCAGCCAGCTGCCCATCAAACAAACTGTTCCTTTTATCTTCAAATTAACAGTGGCATCTGAATATTAAAGTAGAAAAGTTCACCTTCTCTAAGCAGTCTAAATGAAACCTGGTTCCTAGGAAACCATTTCAACAGTAATATTTATTGCTTAATGACTGCTTAGTGTATGACAGGTGCTATTCTAAGTGTATTAGCTATATCAATTCATTTAACTGTCACAGCCTTATGAGATAGAGATACTGTTATGCCCATTTCACAGATGAGGAAACTGAGGTATAGAAGTTAAATGGCTTGCCCAAGATAACGTAGCTATAAAAAAACAGAGTCTGGCTCCAGAGTCTATACTTAACCATTACCGTATAGCTCAGAAAATATTTAAGTATCTTCTTGTACTAGCAGGCTTGGATACACAGCACTGAGCAGTCAGGGAAGATTGGTTCTTAACTTCCAGTGTCCAGAGAGCCAGATCCTTCAGCTACAGTTGTCAATGAAAGCTTCTGAGGCATTTGAGCAGAGACCTGGGTGTTGAAAAGGATTTAGTCCTGCAGAGATCTATGCGAGGGCATTCTGAGCAGAACAGTAAATGTGAAAGCACACATCTGAGAATGAGCTTGGCTTGTTCAGGGGACAGAATGGGAGCTGTACTGAACTACTCTCACTTCAAAGTGCACCATCTCTCTCACCTCCTTGTGTTTGTATGGCTGATTGCTCCTTCTGTTTGGAATGCCCCGCTTATGCCCCTTGCACCTCACTAATTGTCCTTTAGAGCTTCGGTTTGGGACTTCTGTCTGGAGAGTCACTACAGACACCCGCCCCCACTTGGGGTAGGTGCCCTTCCCATGTGCCTAGCTGCCCTCACATTTACCACACCCTACTGACTTTTTTTTTTTTTACTTGAGGAGTTTCTAGAAGAAAGGCATTGTCTAAGCTTAGAATACCCAGCCCTTAACACACACTGGGGGGACATCCATGTTGCCTGAATGGTTATTACCAAGGTCACGTAGTAACTGGCAGAACCAGGACTGAAAATTGTCTGTTCTTAAAATCCGTGTGTGTGTGTGTGTGTTGCACTGCTGTGCTGACAGATGTAGTTTGAGAAGTACGAAATGCTCAGCCTCCACCTAGCACAAAGAATGTCAGAGATGGTGGGTGATTCATCATGTGTTGGCAACATAGTTGTCTTGGTGCCAGTTGTCCTGTGTGAGTGGCACAGGGTTATGAGTTGGGCATAATAAGCTGAGCTCTCAAAAGCTGATGGCCAAAACAGGGCACGTTTAACCAGTGGGCTTAGCTTTGTGTTAGCTGTTGGAGAGCAGAGGCAGGTGATGTGTGTGGATGCCAAAGACTGGCTTATTGAGGTTTTCTCTCCTGGCTGGAAGTTAATCTAGCTTTAGATTTGGTGGTAGAAATTCTTCAAAAGGGTTTTAAGAAAGGAAAAGGTTAGTAGGAAAAAAATGACACAGCATGATCCAGGGGAAACAGAACTGAACTGGGGGGTCAAGAAGACAACATACTGGCTTTAAGACTGGCCAAATAGGCCTTGTTTCCCTGTGTGAAATTGGGAGAATGGTAAGTGGAAAACTCTCAAGTGTAACTCAGTGACGCCCTGGCTTCTTCCTTATAGGGAAGATGGGGCTGAGGGATAAATCCAGATGAAGTAGCCCAAGATGTGGGGAGTCCTCTCCTTTCCTATGCAGTTCAGTGCTTTTCACTACATGGATTTGGGGTGCTCTCTGGTGTGCTCGCAGTCTTTCCTTTGATAACTCTACATGAATCCTGTAATATCAGGGCTTAAATGTCCATTTGGAAACCCGATGTATCTTCCAGAGAGCTGTCTTATTTTTTCTCTGTAATTCTGTAGCTCTGTCATTCTTCTAGAGCTAAAAAATAAGCAGCTCCAAGGCATGATATCCTTTGATTTCATGCCCCAGAATTTTCTAAGAGCTTTTATTTGATCAGAATATCTATATATTATACTTAGTGATAAAAGCAATACCATTTTAGGAACTTGAATTGCTAATGTTCCTAGAAGTCATTATGATCATGGGCCTATAGTATCCATTCTATTTCTTGTTTGTAAAAACCAGAGACAGGTAGAAATCTCTGTTGGATTCTTCACTCATACCCCGTATCCACTAGAAGTCTCCCATCTTCTGACGTAGTATGCTGATTTTGAGATTCTTTATCTCTTAGACCAAAGCCTAGAAGGGAAGAGAATTTGTCCATTATTTTTTAGGGAATATGTAATTATTGTAGATAGCTGGGAACAGAGTCCTAAGATGATGTCTATGATACTTGGGACAAATCTTAGTGACTTTTGATTTGTACTGAAACTTACAGACCTTTCTCCCCATAGAGGAGACTGCCATTTGAGAGAGCCTCCCATCATATAGCTGATGGCTCTTAAGGCAGTTCTGATGAAACAGGCTGATGAACATGAAGTAAAGCCAGATCCACAACTGAGGCGCCCCAACATTGTTTTTGTGGGGTTTTTCCTCAGTAACTTTTATACTTAACGATAGAAGCAGTACCATTTTAGGACTTGAATTGTTAGTGTTTCTAGAAGTCATTATGATCATGGGCCCATAGTATCCATTCTACTTCTTGAATCTGGAATTAGAATCTAGGGGCGCCTGGCTGGCTCAGTCGTTAAGCGTCTGCCTTCGGCTCAGGTCATGATCCCAGGGTCCAGGAATCGAGCCCCGCATCGGGCTCCCTGCTCAGCCGGGAGCCTGCTTCTCCCTCTCCCACTCCCCCTGTTTTGTTCCCTCTCTCGCTGTGTCTCTCTCAGTCAAATAAATAAATAAATAAATCTTTAAAAAAAAAAATTAGAATCTAATTCTCTAACTCTTATCACTTAAGTATAAAAGTAAAGAAAGGATTCCTTTTCCCGTGAGTGGCTTACCACTGAATGGTAATTTCTGACAGCTCAGCGTTAAGCTAATTGATTCAGAGCCAAGGTAAGTTATCACTCTGCCCTACAAGAGCCTTCCTAGCTGCCAGGAGGCCTGGCCCCTATGAACAATGCTCTGAAGATGTTTTCTTGCCTTCCACGTCTGTACTTCTGATTTTGTTTTTAAATGAAAAGTGCCTAAGTTAGGTTTTATTTTTTTCATCCCCCTTTGGCCTTTCCTAAAATGCTCTAAGTTTTCTCAACAATCCTGAAGACTTATTTCCTTTCAGTAAATGGTAGCTTTTCAAGTTACCAGCTGTTGATTCTGTTTCGATTATTTCTGTTTCACTTCCTCATCTGTAAAACGGGAAATACTGCATCCGAGGGTCGTGGTGAGGATTAACGGAGGATAAACTGTAAGGATTGGCACAGAGTAGGTGCTCAGTAAACATTAGTTCCCCTGGTTTCCCTGGTGGATTGTCTTCACCACTCTGAAAGCTTTCCCTAGCCTGTGATTTAAGTGACTTTAGGTGTATGCTTCGGTCCTATGTAGGCCTACAGTGGCCACCAGCCACTGCGCCTATTGAGCCAAAACATATGGCGTAGTCCAAACTGGGATGTGTTATGGATTTCAGACTTGGTTCAAAAATAAAAGATGAAATCTCATTAAATTTTTTATATTGTACGTTTGAAATAGTACTGTTTTTGATATATCAAGTTAAATAAAATATATACAATGAATTTCTTCCTATTTTTCTTTTTACTTTAATGTGGTCACTAGACCATCTTAAATTACATACGTGGTCCCATTGTATTCCTATGGGACTATGCTGGTTTAGGTCCTAAAGAGGATTTGTATACAGAAGGAAAATAGTCTAATAAACCAAAGAAATAAGGCAAGGTATAAATACAGGACAGTAACCTTAATTCCTAGAGTGTTTATTTAGCACATCTTAGTTTTGTGCTCTTTAAGGAAACTTTTATCGATGCACTGTTGGAATGAGTTTTCTGCAGTCTCCCATAGCCTGTTGGAAACATCTTTTTTTTAAATCCCCCTCCTTCACCTCCCTATTGCAAACATTTTTTAGTAGTGTTATCACTTTGAGAAACTACAAAAAGGGCTAATATCTTCCTTGGTAAGAAGCATGTCAGGAGTCCATTTGAAATCAAATGTAGTGAACTGTAGAAATACAAGTTGTAAACACTTTGTATAAAATAATTAGCCCAACATTTTCTCATGATTCTTGAGACTTGGGGCAGTCCCAAAGAAGTTTCGAAAAATGTTTTTTGATCAATAACAGTATGGGTTGAAAAGATACATAACTTCCCAGGGGCATGTATTACAAGTCTTATAAACCTTTATGTTTTGTTTTTTGAATTATTGTAGTTAAGTGAATCAATGAATCAGTAAGACCTCAGTAAGTCTGGGCTGTACAAAAGATAATAACAAATGCTGTTTGTCTCATGGGTGGGGTGGGGGAAGAGCTTTAGTATAGATAGAAAAGGAAAACCAGACCAGCTGTGTTCTAGATTGCTTGTTTTTTTTTTCTCATTCTCCTAGATGCTCGTTGCCAACATTGACTTGGGTCCTACTATTTTGGATATTGCTGGATATAACCCAAATAAGACACAGATGGATGGGATGTCTTTATTGCCCATTTTGGTGAGTATAAAGCCCTCAATCAGGCCTGAGCCAATACTCTGAAATAAATTCCAGGTGGTACAAGTTTAGAATTAAAAATTTAAATCTTAAACTGTGATATTTGAGGAACAGAATAGAATTTTTCTCTTCTCTGTGGTGAGAAGGAGCCTTCTAAAAGACTGATTGGACCACTTATAAACAGATCTGTATCCTCCCTTCTTCCCTTCTCCCCCTCCCCAAAACCCATCATAAACAAAGTGAGGACAGATGACAAATTGGGAAAATATTTGTAACATATATGAAAAAGGGTTCTTGGTCATAATAGATGAGTTCTTGATCATAATAGATGAGTTCCTAGAAAGCAAAGATTAGTATCCCAGTAGAAAAATGGGCAAAAGAAGAAACTAATCAACTCATGGAGGAATTAGAAATGGCCACAGTAAATGCAAAAAAGCTTGCTCCAGTACTGATCAAAGAAATGCTTAACTGAAGGAGGCCTTTATTGCCTACAGAATGGCAAAGATTAAAAAGATTTATACCCAAGTATTTGCAGAAGTCTGAAAAATGAAAACTACTCAGACTGATTCATAAAAGTGTAGTCAGTATGAGCTGTCAAGAGGCTAATTTGACAAGACCTTTCACTTCAGAATACATACCTTAAGGGACACCTTGCTGGCTCAGTCGGTAGAAAATGTGACTTTTGTTTTAGAGATTGTGAGTTCAAGCTCCATGCTGGGTGTAGAGATTAGTTAAAAATAAAAACTTAGGGGCACCTGGGTGGTTCAGTTCTTCGTTAAGCAACCGGCTCTTGATTTCAGCTCAGGTCATGATCTCAGGGTCCTGGGATCGAGCCCCACTTTGGGCTCCCTGCTCAGTGGGGAGTCTGCTTCAGGATTCTCTCTCTCCCTCTGCTCCTCACCCTGCTCTTTCTCTAAAATAAATAAATCTTTTTAAAAAAAAATAGAAAACACACATTAAGCGGTTCCATCTGGGAATTTATTCCAAAGAAAAAAAATTAACTCAGGAAGTATTTGAGTACCCACTGTGTGTCTGGCAGTGCACAGAGCTAAGGATCTGTGGAACAATCAATATTAAATTGGATCAGTATTAAAATGTGTTAGCCATTTAGGGTAACTCATTATAGGTGACTATTAATCATTGATTTGTCTGAATGTGTTACAATATATTATTAGGTAGTATGTGCTTCATACAAGAGAATACATGTCACTCACATAAGTCATAAAACACAAGAAATACCCAGGAACTCATCATCCCATTTAAGAACTCAAATATTCCCAGTACTGGTGCATCTACCTATATGCCCCTTCCCATCCTACCCATGTATCCCTTGCCTGCCCCATAGGAGTGATCATATTCCTGAATTTCATGGTTATTCTCTGGATTTTATTTTTTAGTAATTGTCATGTATGTATCCTTAAACAAGATACCTTCGTTTTGATACTTTTTTTGCACTCAAAAAATAATAATAATAATAATGTAATCTGGGACTTTTTTCAATTCAGTATTTTTCCCAAACTGATACATGTTGTTCACAGATGCCCAATACTCCATTGTTTGCATCAAAACTTAATTATCTGTTTTCTTATTAGTCAATAGACCTTTCTGTTGTGCTAGTTTTGTTTTAGGAACAATGCTGTTGGGCGCCTGGGTGGCTCAGTTGATTAAGCTTCAGCCTTCAGCTCAGATCATGATCTTGGAGTCCTGGGATCAAGTCCCACATCGGGCCTCCCTGCTCAGCAGGGAGTCTGCTTCTCCCTCTCACCCTCCCCCCTGGTCATGCCCTCTCTCTCTCTCTCTCTCTCGCTCTCGCTCTCAAATAAATAAAATCTTTAAAAAAAAAAAAGGAACAGTGCTGTTAGAGCATATTTATACATGTCTTCCAGTGAACATGTGTATATACCAATACAGGAACTGCACATTGTAATTTCTACAAATATTACCAAGTTATTTTTATAAAATGGTCATCAGTTTACATTCCCACCAGCATTGTATGAGAATTCCTTTTGTTCTGTAAGAAACCATCAGACAACTTAATTTTTGCCAATCTAGTGGATAGAAAAGACCAAAATTATATTTGGTCCTACTGTGCATTTCCTTGTTTATTAATGAAATGAATCATTTTTAACAGTTTAATTCACTTAATTCATACAATTCATTAATTTAAAGTTTATAGTTCAGTAGTTTTTGGTATATCAGAGTTGTGCCACCATACCATAATCTAAATTTAGAATCTTTTCATCACCCCAAAAAGAAACCCTAGGTCCATTAGCAGTCTCTCCCCCATTGCTCCCTCTCCCAGCACCAGGCAAGCACTGGTCTACTTTCTAGTGCTATAGATTTGTCTGTTTTGGACATTTTGTATACATAGAATCATGCATATGTGGCCTCTTGTGACTAGCTTCTTACACTGAGTGTAAAGTTTTCAAAAATCATCCGCTTTGTCACATGTATCAGTATTTCATTCCTTTTTATTACCAAATAATATTCCATTGTGTGGATATTCCACATTTGTTTATCCATTCCTCAGTTGGTAAGTTGTTTTCCCTTTTTGGCTGTTACGAATAATGCAGCTGTGGACATCCTGTGTACAAGTGTTTGTGTGGACAAATGTTCTCAGTTCTCTTGGGTACATACCTGTACACCTAGGAATAGAATTGCTGGGTTGTATGGTGACCTCTCTTTAATCTTTTGAGGAACTGTGAGATTGTTTCTAAAGTAACTGCACCAGTTTATATATTCCCATCAGCAGTGTACAAGGGTTCAAAATTTTCCACATCCTTTCCAGCACTTGCTGTTAGCTGGCTTTTTATTACATTGTAGTGGGTATGAGGTGGTATCTTATTGTGGTTTTGATACGCGTTTCCCTAATGACTAACGATGTTGAACATCTTGTGTGTTTCTCGGACATTTGTGTATCTTCTTCGGAGATTGCCTTTTATGTTGCTTCCCTTGTGAAATACCTCTTTTCGCTCATCATGTTCTCCCTGTTTGTGACTTGTCTTTTCTCTACATATGAGATATGAGAACCCAGGAGTTAAATGTATAAATCATCTCTTTTATGGTTAGTATTCTTTGTATCTTGCTTATAAAATTGCTTCTGAACCTTGGATCAAAACACAATTCTCCTAGGTTTTCTTGGAAAAGTTTTGTACTTCTGCCTCTTACATGAAAGTCCTTAATGTACCTAGAATTGATTATCTGGTACGGTAGGAGACAGGGATCCAATTTCTTTTTTTTTTTCTTTATATATACTCAGTTGTCTTTTCTGTTCCACAGATCTGTCTGTCCTAGTAGCAGTATCATTTTGTCTTGTTATAAAGCTGTGTAATTAAATCTTTGTAAAGGCAAACCTCTGCCCTTGTGGGGGACCCTAGCTACCACTCTTCATACAAACTTTAAAAACAGTTTTTAAGATAACTGAAAATTCATGTTGGATTTTTGGTTGGAATTGCATTGAATCTATAGATCAGTAAGAGGAAAATTTACATCTTTTAACATTCTCCCACAAACTCTATAGTACCTTATTTATTTCCAGTTAGGAAAAAAAAATCTTCACTGTAAGGGTGAAATTACTATGCAGAGTATACAGTTGATCCTTGAACAACATGGGTGTGAATCGTGTGGGTCCACTTAAATGCAGATTTTTTTTTTAATAAACATTGGAAAATTTTTTTGGAGATTTGCAACAATTTTTAAAAACTAGCAGGTGAACCATGTAGCCTAGAAGTATTGAAGAAAATAAGAAAAAGCTAGGTATGTCATGAATGCATAAAATATATGTAGATTCTATTTTATTACTTATTACCATAAAATATATACAAATCTATTGTAAAAAGTTAAAAGTTTATCAAAACTTACACAGAATATACATGACACCATTTAGTCGAGAGAATTATAATGATGTAGTATTAAATCATAACTGCATAAAATTAACTGCAGTATATACTGTATTACTGTATAATTTCCTAGCCACCTCCGTTTGCTGTTACAGTGAGCTTAAGTATCGTATCTGCTTAAAATGCCATGTGATGTGCTAATCATCTCTGCATGAACAGCTTGTCTCTCCAGTAAATTGGGTATCATCGTAAAAAGTGATCTCTTCCGGTTCTTGTGTATTTTTCATTGTGTTTCATGCAATACCATAAGCCTTGAATAACACCATGGGACCCATGCGAAGTGCCACTAGGGATGCTGGAAATGCTCCCAAGAACCTGAGAAAAGTTATGACATTATAAGAAAAAGTTGAATTGCTTGATATATGTACCGTAGATTGAGGTTTGCAGCTCCAGTTGCCCACCATTTCAAGATCAATTTATCCAGCATAAAGACCACTATGGAAAAAAAAGAAAAGGAAATTCATGAAGCCAGATGTGAAAACCTTACACTTTTTGCAAAATACCTTTTTATCTTTTATTGAAAATGTAGCTTTGTGTAGGTGCAGGATTGCTATAAGAAAGGCACACCTATAGACTCTTAATACGATTAAGTAAAAGCAAAGTCATTATATGACAACTTAAAGCAACAGGAAGATGAACTATCTAAAGCTGGAGAATTTAATGCCAACAAAGGATGGTTTGTTAATTTTAGAAAGAGATTTGGCTTAAAAAATGTCAGTGTAACAGAAGTAGTAGCTTCCGTTGACCAAGAGGCAACAGACAAGTTCCCAGATGCCATTAAGAAAATCATTGAGGGGCGCCTGGGTGGCTCAGTTGGTTAAGTGTCTGCCTTCGGCTCAGGTCGTGATCTCAGGTTCCTGGGATCAAGCCCCGCATCGGGCTCCCTGCTCAGCAGGGAGTCTGCTTCTCCCTTTCCTTCTGCCCTTGCCCACCCACACCTCCACACCCCGCTCGTGTTCTCTCTCTCAAATAAATCAGATCTTAAAAATCATTGAGAATATCTATCTGAACAGGTTTTTAGTACAGGTAGAAGTTCCCTATTGTGGAGAAAAATGCCACAAAGGACATTTATTAGTAAGGAAGAGAAACAGAAACCAAGATTTA